AGGGCCCCATCCAACCTGGCCTTGAACACCTCCAGGGATGGACGGGGCATCCACAGCCTCTCTGGGCAGCTGTTCCAGCACCTCACCACTCTCTGTAAAGAACTTAAGAGATTCTCTGTAGCATTCAAAGTGTGTAATTTAATGGCAGGCTTCAGAAATTCTCAAAAAACATTCAGAGTTTGGTATTTAAAACCAATTTAGTTTCAAGAAACATGCAGCATGTGTCTTATGCTCTTCATACACCATACTGCTGCTAAGATACATGAAGACTGGTAGTTTAATCACCAATTCGTATAAACAAAATATCTCATTTGAAGATAAAACTTGGTTAAGTATCAAAATAATCCCAAAAGTATTCTGGCTCCAAGCTCATACAGAAAGACAGTACTGCTCTGTAACACAAGCCATCGTTATTTCATCATTAAGTGCTCACGCAAATTAATGTGAGTCTTACAGGCTGGCTGGTACCAAGTTATTTCGTATTTTCTTCAAGCTAAAAAGCACATACAGTTGTCAGTGTTCAACTGATAAGCAGTAACTTGTTGAGATGGTAATCCCATTACCACTAAGTGGCCCAAGGAAGCTGTGGATGCCATCCCTGGAGGCATTCAAGGCCACGTTGCACGTGGCCCTGGGCAGCCTAATCTAGTGAGTGTCACACTGTGGGGGGATGGAAACCTACGGGCCTTAACATCCCTTCCAACTCAAGACATTCTGTGATTCTATGATCCTGAACCACATTCTTAATTGAAATCCAATGAACCGTTGAATCTGTCCTTAGTGGAAATGGTACCAAAGGAGGGAATCTGAAACCATCGCAATTTTGTTACCAATTTGGTTGGTAACTGGTAATGCACCAGTTTCAAAAGCAACTGCTAGCCCTCAAACAGTGATATTTTATACATCCAACCCACACCAAACCGTAGGTGATACATCACAAACAGACCACTTCTAAATATAACTATTTATTCCAAGCATTTTGATCCTGAGTTCGGCAGAAGAAGGAATAAGGAACGTTACATGCTGCACAGAATTTTATTTTTGCCTCTAAATTAGTACCCAGAAAAGACTATGCATGACAGAAGTAGTCTTGTCCTTACAGCACCTTAAGCATGCTGGCAACTCTCATCATCATGCCCTAGAACACAATCCAAATGGAAGCACACGCTATATTTCAGATGGCAATCTGTGCCTGAGTAGTTAAGAGTTATAAAGGAAGCATACATCTGTACCGTATGTTTATTTGTTTAAACACTGTCACTGAATTTCAGAAAATGAGTACAAGAAATAGTACTTGGAAAAAAAAAAAATCACACCCAGGATTTGGGATTTTTGTTGGTTGTACGTAGCAAAACTCTTCAAAGAGAAAAATATGCCAAGAAAGAGCTTTGGAATATTACTAGGATTTGGGATTTTTCCTTCTGCTATTTTTCGTGCTCGCTTCTTGTTCTAAAGTAAGGCAATATGTTTGTTGGTAGGCCCAAAGTGAAGCTGAGTGTAAGGTTTTCCCCAGGCAGCAAGAAAACAAGTTAAAAATAACACCTCAGAAAAACACGTAAAGGAAAGCACTGAATTTTTCTTTAGCTCAGTTCACTGATCTGGTTTATAATATAGTTCAGAAAACTGTTTTATCATCACAACCATAGGAACACACAGTCGTAGCACAGAACAAGAAAGGGACCCAACTAATGTCCAGAACTTTATACTGCATTTACCACAACCACATCCTACACACCCTGTATCAGACTGACCTCTAAAGCTGATACCAAAACCACAGACTGTGAATGCAGGAATTTCTTCTCGTGCTCCTGCTCTGATGTATTTGTACTCAGTAGAGGCCCTAGGTGTAAGGCTGACTAAATACATGCTAAAGTGAATACGCACAGTGTGGGAGAGTTATTCAAGCATGAGCTTCTTATAGTGACTGACTCTCCCACATTGAGTACTGCATGTAGTTAATATCTATAAGCAGCTGAAAAAGGCTCCTGTGTGAGAAAATTGATTAGCCTTCCGAAGACAGTAACTTCTATGATCCCTGCTTAAAACCTGAAAATGCGATATAGTATTGTATGACAGCTGATTTCTGGAGGAAAAAAGGATAAAAGGAAAAACAGAGTTAGTACAGACAATCATCACAATGTGTAAAAATGACAGGAATGACATTACTGCATTAAGCAAAGTGAGTGCCATTAGGAAAGAATGATGAAATAACTTAAAATGAAGAACAAATACTGGGAGAAAAAATAATGAGCATGTATGCATCTTTTTCATACACCAGCTGTCCAACTGTTGGGAGGGGTGGGGGAGAACCTACTGACACAGAACTGCAAACTGCTGAAAAGAACAAATGCTCTTTTATGCTTAACTAATGCAGTGATAACAAGCAGTGCTGAGGGCCTCTTCCAGTTTTGATAGTTGGATGCACTGAATGTGTTTTTCTCCTCAGTTATTGATTGCACTGGACTTTTCTTGGTCTCCTTTGCTGAGAAACATACAAGCAATAACAACAGTGGGAAAGAAGAACGTTTCTCACTTACTTAGAACTTCAGAAAGCACTTTAATAGAGAAGAGTCCCATTCACACCTATATCAAGTAAGATATTAATGAAAGAAGCTCAGTTACTTGCCTGTTGACAGCTAGTGAGCTTGCCTACACCACTATCATTTGTAATTAGTTTTCATAAATATACAACACAGCTATTTTAGCACCAAAGACTGCTTAGCAATTCTGCCTTACTTTAATGTGAAGCATTCTTGCCTTTTTTGAGCATCACATATTAGAAATGAATTTCATACCAATTCTTACTATGTATGATGAGAAAAGAAAGAATAACACACTTGAAATTCCATGAAGGATATCAGAATAAGAACTTCAAGAAGCTATCTCCAAGTTGAAGCTCAATTAAGCTGCATTAGCTTGAATATTAAAAAGTTAGAGGCATGGCATCTTATGTTTTCATGGATCTGTATTGAGAAGCCATGAAACCTGAACCTTTACAACATTTCACAATAGTTTTTAGCCATATTTATTTCTGTTACAGATTGGAAATTGAGAGCTAGGCCATGTAACGTGTTTATCAAGAGGACATAGCTTTAAGTGAGGCCTGAAGAGTCTATGCTAGGATTTAGAGCTTGCAGATTTGTATACTTTTTCCACTTCAGTTTTCAAACTTATAGGAAGTCTTGCATCAGTGTGTCAGGCTTTATCTGTAGTGTTTGGCTCTCCTGTAATGCAAATAAATAGTACTATCTAGCACTAATAAAGACGAAGACAGCAAAATAATAACCTTTATATGAATTACCAGTCCTATAATAAGTATAATCACCAACAACATCTTGACTGTCTTCCCTGTCCTCCCAATATTTTACTACCCATAAACTTGCAATATTCCTCACCACACCACATTATTTGTTTTACCAAGCACAATATTATTACATGCATCTTCAGGTAGTCAGGATATCAGGAGCTATGAAAATGAAAACTGTACCAGATTTGGGAGGTTTAAACCTGGAGAGCACAAGAAACTTTAAGGAGTCTTGTACAAGGAAAAATAGAACAGCACCCTTCTGATCCCATGAAGAGACAAGAACCAGTATTGGTAACATCAGATTAAAATGCACCCTCCTAGGTAATACACCTACAGCCATGATGCAATAGGCTGCCTCTTAAATCCAGTCCGACATGCTTCAGCAGTACCAGATTATGGTCATTAAATTGTGTAAGCAAGACAGAACATCCTGCTTCTAGGATGAAAAGCCAGCAAGACCAAGCCAGAAGAGATCAACTAGGGAGTATCTGACACCGCTGGATTTCGCCCAAGGCCTGCTACAGCGAAACAGATTTGTACAACCACCAGATTGGCAAAATACAGCATAAATCCGGACAGGCTGCACTACATACATCCATCAAGGAACATAAAGTAAACAACTGTTTTAGAAGATAACAATAATTCAATCTTGCAGAATCAAAAGACTTACGGCATGATTTAAAACGAGCTTAGTAGTAGAATATTTCATACTGATAGTATGCAATCTCATTGCTAGGCCTTCAATCAAGCACAAAAAATACCTATGACTCCATCTGTAGCTGACTCAGTAGCTAACAAGAAAGCTTTTAATCTCAACCTAATGCCCACTAAAAGCTGTTGATTTCAGAATGCACAATTGCAACAAAAGTTCTCAGTGCCAAATAGAGAAACATTATTTGCGTCCTGCAAGAGCAACAAAAGAACTGCTAGCAATCTAGCATAGAGCAAAAGCAGAAACAAGGGCATAGAAGCTGGAAGGAAAAGACTATTAAACATAACTGTTATGCAACTACTTTTTAATTTACCAAAAATCTATGCTGAATCTCAGAAGACAGTGGAAGTGAATTCCAACCAGGTCCTCATAAACCCTATTTTTCTAAGCTCATGTTTGCTCTATTCTAAGTGAGGTTTTAGCTTTTGGCACAGCTGATTAGAAAAACTGTTCAGCTCTGCTTGTGTAGGATGGGCAAAAACCTTCATGCTAGATATTAGTTGATTTAAAAAGCAGAACAAGCTAAAAATTCTTGCATGACTGGCCATCGAGTAGATACAGGGACCGAGCAGGAGAAAATAATTTATTCTGAAGGACAGAAAAAAATCTGACAAACAGAACACTAACTGGAAGACATGAGCAAATCTACTTTTGTTTATGTAAACTGCACTGAAGTATCACAAAGGGGGTGGTACAGAGGTGGCTGACAGCATTAATTTTTAGGCTGAGTAGATCATCTATTTTACTGTATTACATAAGGTTGGGTTCCAAAGCACGTTAAAGTCAACAGACTTCATTTACTTCAGTCTTGCAACATGACCCAGAATTTAAATGGTATGACTGCTTGCTTTGTAAGCACAGGGTCTGAAAAACTTGCAGTTTGCAGATGACATCTCCCTCGCCAGAGCTGAACCATACTGACAAATTAGATGACTCTGTGGATTACACCCCTTCTGTTGCAGAAGTTATCCTTGGTCTTACCTGCACGTTTTCTTCTGTAACTTGAATTTCAGCAGTGTAAATATAATCAATAAGTATCCTTAGGGTCCAGCCATCAACTTCTTTTATTCGAATTCTCTTTGCTCGGCTTTCACTCATCTCACCTACAAATATATTATGATTGTTAAGTACATTAGGTAGAGATACAGGACAAATTCAACAGTTTAACAGTAATGACTCCTGACGACAGCAGAAATTTTTGTGTATGATCAATTGTAGTAATAAAGCCATTTAAATAAGAATTGAATTTCTTTCCTTCCTCCCTCCAAAGAGAAAGGAAGATTTTGTTGTTCCCATCACGTGAACGCTACACGGGTTAACGCTTTTATTGCAGATGATCCATTTTCACCCTTTTACAGCATCAGTAAAATATTACCATTATATCTAAATAAGACTATTCAAATGCATACAAAAATGTTTTGCTAGCAAACCAACCTATCACATACTCCTGATTTTTTTAACTTCTTAATCTAAGGAACAAGCCTAATGCAGTCTAGAGTCACTGAATTTTAAAAAAGAAAAGGAAATCCATCCCCACAGAAGGCTTAACATACATATTTCTTTGCTTGCCTGCTTATTATTCCCTTCACAATTTCACTTCTGCTTCAGTTCTAACAGTCAAAACTCTAAGATAAAAAGGTAAGCATGAAAAAACTTGCTGGACCTCATTTTGTGGAGGCTGACACGCTGCCCATATGCCACAACAGGTCTTCATAGAAAGTCCTGCAAAACAGCTTCCACTTCCTAATATCTGACAGAATCATAGAATCTTTCCGGTCTGAAAGGACTCTGAAAGGTCATCCAGTCCACCTCCCCTGCAATGAACAGGGATACCTACAGCCAGATAATGCTCTCAAAATGCAATATTATGTTTGTATTTGGAATCACTGTCTCAAGATAAATTTTGAAGAAAAGACTACACTACTCCACAGTGACCAACCACACGTCTGGATGCCTGAGACCTGTAACCCTTTTCACACAGAAACGTGAAATGTGAAGTACACTGGGTATAGACATGAAACTTTCACCTTGGAAAAGTACATCATCCTCTCTGGATACATGCATCTGCTATTCTTCTATATCAGATATACTTTTTCTTCCCCTAAGCATCCGGAGAAAAGAGTATTGAGAGGTAGGAAATTTAATACACACAGTAATAAAAGTAGACAAGACACAGAAGTGAACCAGTAGATGTTTAACATTGCTGTTATCTCCTTATCAAAGTACACACATTTTTGTTGTTTGTTATCCTGTGGTCTTCTAGGAACAACAACAAATAGTGCACCCAGCTCATCACTGAGAATCTTATTACTGTTATTCACGTCTTCATTTTATTTTTTTTTCTTTAAGTTGAATACTAAGGAATGCATTTTAAAATCAACTCTTCGGTTGATAGGAAGCATATTGGATCACTTACAGAAATGCATTTCTGCTTAATGGCAGCACTTAACATTAGAGTTCTGGAAAGCACTGGTGAGGAACCACATGAAAGAACAAAATTCAGCTCCCATCGAACTTCCTCTTCTGCTGCTCTTCTGAAACATTTCCATATACCTGTGAAGGATCACTGCAGTGTATTCTTTGCAGAGTCCCCTGTTTGAAGTTTAAGCTACTTTTTTGACACAGATTAAACCTATTGATCTTCAGAGCTTGCAAGCAGCAAGTCACTTATTATGCAAGCTGCTGTGGAGGTGGTCCTTTGGGAAAACTGTACGTAGGCGAGCAGAGTTTGATATTCTGCAAGCATATTAGTTTTGTTTTCAGATTTTGTGTCAAGGCTTCTAAAGCCATGGATAGGCATCTTCTCTATTTAATTACAGAGTTCAGCATCCACAGAGGGGGAAAAAAATTCTTTCATACTAGAAGGCCATGCAGTGTTCCTATGATGCTGGATCAGCCCTCTCATGATGCAGGTCGTTTTGTTTAACAGGTCATACACAGATAACCACTGACACACTTGCTGGGCATTCTTAGTTTAGAATGCAACCTTCTGAAGAACTCACGTCATGGGCAGCTGCACCACAACATCCTCACAGAGCTGTCAACGACACAGAAAGGGAAATAGTGGGCTGGTCAATGCTCCTGAACAGGAGCAGCAAAGCAAAAACGGAGCTGAAGTTATCAAAAGGCCATCTAAAAAGCCAATACTATACAGCAACATAAGGAACGTGTGCATTTGCTTGCATTGCTCTTCTTGTTTTGTTTTGTTTTTCAATAGAATTTTACAAATGGAGAATAAAGCAAATAATTGCCTAAGGATAACTGCTGTGGCAGAACAGAAAACAAATGCAGGCCACCCTTGTCTCAAGTCAAGGCAATAGGGCCACTGAAGTGCTCCTTCACTGATGTTTTATAATCTTTTCCTCTAACCATTTAAGCATATTTAATTTAGGATTACAACCAATATTTCTGAAGAATTCACAGAAAAAAAAAAAATACTCCTTGTCACACAGTTCAAGACATTTAATCTTTATTCCCCTCTGGTCTTACTTACAAGATCATTGTTACTAACTAAAACAGTTGTGTAACTTTAAAAGACAGTAACTCTTTCTTTTTGGGTATTTAATAACACTACTTCTGTCATTGCAAGCACAAACTGGAAGGAAACAAGAGTCAGAAATCTTGACTGCAGCTAATGCTGTACCTGCACTGCTGTGATTACCTAATGAATCAGAAAAAGAAGGTAGAAACCTGCAAACATGTGCCTAGAGTGAAGCTTCTAGTTTTTAGTCAAGAGCGAGTAACCCTGCAGCTGTTTAAACTATCAAACTTATTTGAACTTGCAGATCACTGCATTAGAATACAATTCCCCCTGAGAAGTATCAACTCCAGAATTCACAGAGATAATTATCATGAACTATGGGATTATTTCTGTGGAAAATAGCTGAAACACTCTGACAACACTCTTGGTCTTTGCTAAGCACAACATATAATAGTAATATAAAATCTACTACTAAATTTTGAAGCCAAACCTCATTTCTACTTAAATTCCCATCAATTTGGTTCACCAACTACACAAACAGATGCATGGGTTAACAAGTTCTCACTCTTCCCTCAGATGAGTGTTCCCAGCTCCCACATCACAGGGGGTCAATGCAGACCTAGCTTTGAAAATATAAAACAAGCAAAACTTCTCAAGGAGCAAAGGAAGGGAAAAATTGTGGTTTCAGTGATTTTGTTCAGAGCACCATTGCATTTGCACTCCTAAGGGAGAATAAACTTCTCCATAGAAAGGACAGTCAGTGGTAAGCAGAAGTGCCTTAACCAGGCTTTTGTATGCCACAGAAAGGATCATACAGAACCACACCCTGAGTAAAGAGTATTTTCGATGTGAGAGCCAGTAAAAAATGATCTTTAACACAGAACTGATTTCTTCATTACTTAGGTGATGAACTACGGAAACAGTTGTTTTAACTTTCCACTTCAGAGAAAGCACAGAAGTTAAGAAGGAATGTGTGTCAGTCACCTGGAATGTTTGTAACAACCACAGATGCAAATCTGAATTACTTGAAGAACTGTTATTAAATGGAAACTCTTTAAAGCTTTTTTTTTGCTAGTAGGGACTCCTCTTTTAACTTTGATTATATCATAGCATACGTGCATAATATCAAGACTATATTGAACTACAGACTTATTTAGTTTCATTGAAGTGCTGGCTAATAATCATCTGCTTCCCAGTACACAACAGTATGTCAAATTATATCATTCTTCCAGCTGCATGCAATGAGAATTATTAAAACTTCTTTTAGCTTGCAGACTGGCATGCCAAGAGCCATATATTTTTTCTTCCTACTTTTGAGCCTGAAGTAAAACATTACAGAGAATTCTCTTAATTTCAAGCAGTCAACATTAAGAACCGAACCAGCACAAGATTTTAAAAGGAACAGATAAAACTTCAGAAATTAATTTGAACACGCATTTAATAGCATTCTCACTTTGACACCGAATTCCACATTTCAGAGTCATTTATAACCATCGTGAAATTAAACCCACAGAACAGCAATTCAGCTGTAGGGTGCTATGAATCTGACTGAGCCTTGCAAGCCTTCTGGCATTCCTGGAGCAACTTGGCCAGGACAGAGCAAGCACAGGCAGAAACGAGCCTGCTCTGAAAAGTTGTGGCAATGATGCAGAGCACATCTGTCACAAAGAATTATCCTGAGAGTACTGAAACATGCACTGCAGCTACAGGCTGCCAAAGCCTCAGAAAGCTTTCGTATCTATTAACAGCCTAGAACATACAGGGGCTGAAGAATGCAACAGTAGTTGTTAAAGGACATACTTCAGAATTCACATGAAAGTTATTTTAACCATAATTTGTACGTTACTGCAGCTTTCAGAAGTGTAACCACTCTACTACTCCCAGCTTACTTCGCATGTAAATTACTTTAAATAATGAATACTTCAAAAAAGTATTTGCAATGCTAGCAGATTAAATTGCCAGCATGTACTCAGACTGCAAGCAAATTCATCTTTAAAAGCTCCTGCTGTCTTACCTAGAAATTTAAATGAGATCCTAAAAAGCAGAGGTCACACAATGTTGTGAATTACACGGTTGGATTGGATTAGAACATAATAAATGCTGAAGCATTTGGTACCTGTAAACATGGCATGGAAGTAGGGGCTGCAGGCGGCCAGCACAACTCTGTGCGCTGCAATTTCCATGTCTTCAGCCACTATCGTCACATCACACAGCAAGTTTTGACTAGATAGAAAAGTCAGAGAAAGTCATTTCACATATGTGAACCACAGCAGAACAGTATAAAACAACATGTCATTTCTCCTTCCGTGCCCTCAAAACAGGCAGGCTTACGAGGTTGATAAAGCACTGTTTTTCAGCGCGCTACAAAATGGCAGGGATGTTACTCAGAAGGGATGCAGGGCTGCTTGGGTATACACAACTTCCCAAAAGTCAAACAACTGAATTGTGATTTCTTCCACAGCTAAGTTTCCTGCACTGAAGAACAGAAATTGACATCAGCCCAATTTTAAAACCTTCTCACTGGAAGGCTGGGCTTCTTCAAATACCTGCAATAAAATAAAAAATAAAGACCCG